ATTTCCCATTTAATACTAACAATTCTGTCCCACGTGACGTCACCGTCAGTCAGCTGCATGCGCAGGAACACACCGTTATTCTGTGTATCGTGTTGTTTGCGATCGGAAAGTAACTCTGTAATATTTATTGGTTTAGGCAACTGAACATACTTTTCGCGACTGGTGCGCCATCTGGCATAGAAAATATTGATTATCATGGTATCCAAACGTAAAAGAGGACCGTTGGGGGCAGCACCTCCCGGTGCCCTCTGAAATTTTTATGCAATGTTCAATTTTAGAAAAAACTACTTACTTTTTTTAAAAATGGTAAATACACAAGTTGTTCAGTGGCAAATGAAGAATAGCGGATGATAACATTTATACGTATATGACTTGTTTTATATTTTTTTCATTTTATTTTTTTTATGTTTATAAAAAAAAGTTATCATGCGCCAATCTACGATGCATAAGAAGCACGGATACAAAAAAGATTTTTTTTTTGGTGAGTATTAAGCCCGCAATTTGAACATTAACATTTCCAATATGGTGGACGGGTATAGAACCCTCTTAAAAAACGTCCCAAAAAAATGTGAATATTTATTATTGGAGTTTACATCGTTATGCTAAAACAATACTAGAACAACTTAAATAATGTGGATTTTGACTATTTTGAGTTATGCAGATCATTATGATCTAAAAAAATGTTTGTCTGGTACTATAGCCAGGTATAAAAACATTCATTTATTTAAACACAGTTGCAATATACATTTTATTTAGTTTTTAAGTTAAAACCTATTAGGACATCCTAAAATTACTTTTTTCGTTTGATGTGAAATTAATTATTCTACATTTTTGTTGGTGAAATAGGATATATTAAGATGTCTTACTGTTTTCTCTAATTATCTAAAAAGTTAGAACAATATACAAAGACTGTTATAACAAAAAAGAGATACACCTTTACTTAAACACACAATTAGTCAGTTCAATTGTACGATAATGTAAAGCAGAAATCCAGAAAACTTTAAAAATGTGTTTAAATATGTTTTTACTATAACAAGGATATAATTATTAAAAAAACTTGGCACATTAACATTGACGATAGATTTTTATAATATACGAGTTTATTATACAAATCACAACGAACTACACAAAATGACATTATTAATAATTTAGCAATAAAATAGTTAAGTATAATGATGACATTAAAAGTTGAGTTTCTCGAAATACTTTTTTTAAATTGTCTCAGTACCTACCTAGTATTTTTCTAGCACAATGATATTATATGAATGTGCATTGTGTGATATTTTATATTTTAGGAATAAAATGATATATTTTTTTGGAGGTTTCTGTTAACAACGATTCCAAGAACATTTGAAAATATTATTAAAACGGCCTTTGCAAATTAAATTCTCAATTAAGAGCTTGTGATCTAACATTAAATTTTTATTCTCCATAAGGTTACAGCTTCCTAAGAAGAAAGTTTAACAAGACTTACCAGACCCAAAATATCAAAATGTTACCAACCAATTGATGGTTCTACTGGTTTCCATAGGAAAATTCTCCTCGAAACTACTAAAAGAAAAGTGGCAGAGGCAACCGAAGAAGGCAAAAAAGTCTTTTGCAAAAGAAAAACTAGAAATTTGTTTGAGAATCTAATTATTGTTTGAAGTTTTACCATTAATAATTTTTGATAACGATTTAAGATTATGAAGTTCTATATGTATTTTACTCTTTGATAACCTATGTTTAAATTTTTATTAGAACCAAAATAAATTATAATTTAACTTTCTATTTGTACTTGTATTAATTTATTTCATTTTATTATCTGTTGTATTTTCAGATTGATTTTGATATTAATCTTATCTATTTATATATTTTTATGTTCCCATATGTTTTTTTCATTGAAAAAACGTTTATTAGCTTATTAAATATAATGAATTCATGTTGTTTTATTATATGCTTGCATTATTACTTTTATTTCCTTTTAAAAATGAATTTCGAAGATAAAGTCGAAATGGTGAGTGAGAATAAAACATTAGACGAAAGTGACGATATTTACTGGAGCTTTCATCTACACGCTCCTTTTTCTAGCCATCTACACCTGAGCCAGCAAAATTCGTCTTCCCTTCATCCTTACATTCTCCAGATTTACAGAGAAAACGCCGTCCTCTTTAACATATCCAAACCTTCTTTGACGGGGACTACACCACTACATTATCAGCTTTATTAGTTATCCCGATCAATTTAAATGCATTCGTAATTGCTCATTCTCACCTCTTTTCTTGTATATTCCGTACTTAGTTTTCTTATTTTTAGTTACGTTTGCACTGCTCTTTTATTTTCACAGCTTTAATTCTATAATGCTGTAACGCTACAATATGGATCCATTTTTGTGGTTTATATACTATTTAATGTTATTTGTAAGTGACCAACCTATTATAATAATTAAAGATTAATGTATTACATGCCCGAAGATGTTCCTGTAAGGCCGAAACTAGTCGCTACTGTATTTATTTATAATAAAATTGATTTTAAGGTTTTATTCTTCAATTAAAAAAATTAGACCTTTACAGTGATTTTGTTTCATTTCCTGCATTAGACATATATAAGACGGTATTTATTTTAAAAATAGTAAAATTAACAAATTTTTTAGTTTTTTTTACAATTAAAACGTTTGGACAATGTGTGTTTTTATAGATAAATGATACGCCATTGAACAAGAAGGATGTTTACCTTCCCCCTTGTGCCCGCTTCCTCACCTTCTCTACAGATGTTGCTAACACAACAATCGCCTACAAACTCGTTTTCACTCTCCCTCTATTAGTAATTGCTCGGAGCTTTATACACATAAATTGACAGGTTGGCAGCGGATCTCACCGAAGTGGACGCGATACATTGGCGTACAAAATTATTTTATAGATGTTAATAACAATTTCGAGTAAATAGTTTAATAAATTGTGAATAGCTGTTGAAAGTTTGTAAAATTATAATTTGAATATTATAATACATGTTTAATAATTATATATAATCCATAAATACATGCGATTGTCCGGTTCCGCCGATAACAATTTAAAATTACTTATTCTATGAAACGACACTGGCAGGTAAACATTACTGTGAAATTCTCGGAGCCGCCCGACGTGGTTTGACGTTTACCCCCTCTCTACCTTCTCGAATACGGTCGACTTTAGAGCGTATGACCAAGAGTACCTTTTTTGTGTAGAAAACATTGGCGGTACAAATGGGCGTCTCAAAACCGTACTTTTTCCAGTGGCGTAGAAATTTTTTTTTTCAATTTCAACACACCCTGTATCGAAAATGGTGCATTTTAGAGGGTAAGTTAATAGAAACGTTTTTTCATATTTTTGGACGTCCTGAAGTCCTGCGCATATATTATGAAACACCCTGTATGCTGGCCTTTTAATTCTAAAAGTTAAATGACCATCATTTATTAAAATTGTAGGGTAATAGTTATTGGGCCTTTTATTCCTCCACACAAAATGTTTGTTGAGTTTAAATTGAATATTTGATGCAACATTATAAGCGACGAACTACTATATAGCCGTAATTTTCTTCCTCCAAATTTAAATGGAGATTCGATCTTCATTTTTCAATAATAATAGTAATTTATTAAATTTATAAAAAAATAACAAAACTATCAGAAAAACTAATCACAGAATATCAAAACGAAAGATGAACAATGGAAAGGTGAACAAGTTTCTTAATATTAATAGTAGTTTTTCTCTACAAGAACTACTAAACGACGTGTCGTATTGAGACGCCTATCTTCGTTCTACAGACTGCGATTCTTCTGTAATTCTACTAGACACATAACGTAACGGTTTTTTCAATAGCCTCTATCTTGAAAACGAATGCAGTTACGAAATTTTTTACTGAGAACAACCAACTTGTTAAAATGTTTTACCTTTCCGCACTGGGCTACCATTTTTTGAAACATCATGTATAAATTGCATTAAAAATGTATGAAAAGCGTATTTCTCATCTATAAAATTGTTATTAATGATAAAAAATTCTTTTAGTTTATTAAAACAATCGATAACTTAAATCACTGAAAATGTTGCCTTGAGAAGGGGACGTTTTTTATTGGAAAATTTTAGTTACTATTTTACTAATAAAGCTAGTTAATGTATCTTAAGCGTTTTATTTAAATGTAAATATCTCTGAATGAAATTTATTAGACTAGTCAATGTTTAAGGCCTCGTCACTTCAACCTTTGTATGCTTTCAGTTGATGTTTGTGTAAAGAGATCTATTGTTTCTATCAGTGTTGACAGTCTCCATTAGATAGATAGATAGATAGAAATGATAAAATCTGAGGATACTTATTACATATCAATTTTTTTTTTTTTTATATATATATATTGGTGACATACATTTTTCCATATTTTTAAAAATAAGTCCTATATTTTAACATCCCCGTATTTGGTAAAAATTTTAAAAATATTACTTTAAGTAGTAAGGAAGAATAAATTGGATTTTTTTATTGTCGAGTTTCAGAAATATTAATTCCTCCCGATTTTAAAACGAGTACACGAACTGGCTAAAACGGACCTGCAAAATCACTTTGTATGCAATCTCACCACTAGTTCTGTGACTTTTGTTAATAAAGGATTGTTGTGTCATTTTAAATATACAGTTCACTGATTATGGATCAGTTATAGATGAAAAAAATGTTCAGCATCAGTTCTGTATTAGTTCTAGATAGTTTATCCAAAATTTTCACAAAGAACTGGTGAGATTGCGCACAAAGTGATTTTGTAGGTTCGTTTTAGCCAATTCATATTTGTTTTTGTACAAAAACATCAATTTCGGCCCTGAATTTTACAAAGATTTAATGGGTTTTGCTGTATTTAATATTTTGATAACTTTACAAGTAAATTGTTGGGACACATATACTCCCAAGTAGCTCCTAACTAAAGTAAAATAAATTTGGTAGACATAAAAAATGCAGCAGTATATTTTTAACAATTTTTTTATTAAATCTTAATTAAAATCACTTACAAAGCAAGGACAGTAGCCTTAAGAGCTTTACGTTCCTTAGCTTTAACTTGCGCTGCAATTCTGTCCAAATCTCGCCTGCCTTGTTGGGTGAGTTTCCTACCACCATCAGCAGATTTTTCAATCAATTTAACTCCTTCTAAGCTCTGGAGGGCTTTGCGACCAATGCTACCTGCAGCCCTAAGAAAAAAATCATTAATATGTTAGAGGTTACAATTCTTCCTGTTTTTAAAAATGATAATTTGAATTTATATAGAAATAGGTCTGAAATTATCACACCCATATTACTAATACTGATAGACCGTTAGATAGTGACCAATTTGGGGCCCCATTTTCGTATACAAGCCTCGAAGAGGGTTGAAACGTACATCGATGTTGAGTAGAATAAAAGAAAATTTATGAGTGGCTCTTGGGGATAACACATGGAAAATTCGATTTGCCTTACCAGAAAAATTTTCTAACACCAAAATGCACTTATACATTCGGATCATTCAAACCAATATGTTTTTCAGACTAGTGACAATGTACATTTTCATACAGTCAATGGGCTTGTGTGGAAAAATCGGGTAAACTCTCAATTTTTCCTTAGAAGATTACGCCCTTATTTCAACCCTTTAACCACTTTGGTTTTCCGAAGCCTAGTTCTATTAATTAATCATATAGTGAACATAGTTTGCATGAAAATATGGGCAAAAAATAACCTTTCATTTTTGTTAGGGAAACCCGAATTTTCCATGTGTTATCCCACGGAGCCCGACTCGTAAATTTCCTTTCATTATACTTAAAATCGATGTACTTTTCAACCCTTTTCGAGGCTTGCATGCGAAAATGGGGCACCTAAACCTGTCACTATCTGACAGTCTAGGACTTGTTGTTATGTCCTAATTTAGGAACATTTTTTGTGAACCGTTCATTATTATGTTTCCCAAAGGACATAATTTTACAGTTTTTGAAATACATATGTATTATATGTGTAACAGCATAATGGAATAAATTTTGTAACTCAATTACTGTGTATATTTATAAAAAAATCCCGAAATATGCCATTTTTAGATTATACTATCTTCGAGTCACAGTTGCAACCCCCAAATTTTTAAATAGAAAGTACAGGCTTGTGATACTTCAATTGGAAAGTATCATCTCTATTAAAAAATTCTGCAGTTTTAAAATTTATTGAAATAATTAATTAATACATAGTTTAGTTTTTAATATGTAAAAAAAAAAACAATCTTAATGTAGAAGAAGCTTAAAATCGTGAATAAAATTATTTTCGAATGTTAATCAACATCTGAGACATGAGAAACAAAACAAAATCAGCTAAATCGCAACATAAAAAGTATATCTAATGGCATAAGATCAGGTGATTGGAAATATTTGGTCAATGTACTGTGGGACTTTAAAGAAATTAATAAAAAAACGGAACCTATGGCACAGGTACAGGTCAAGAGCTGAGGAAGATTATGCTGCATATAGAAATCAGAACAATAAACTTAAAAATGTTATGACTGTATCCAGAAAAGATTATGAACATAACCTCTTAAAAGGTGGTGAAAAATAAATTTTACTCCTATGTTAAAAGAATACACCACTGAGATAATGCTAAGAAACCCAACAACAAATTTAGCAATCACAGAACCAGCTGAGATAGCAGAATAGCTCATACAACAGAACCTGATACAGAATCACCACAAATAACTGCAACAGAAAGAGTTGAAAATAGCATAGTAAATATTGAATTTACCCCAGAAAAAGTGAATTTTGCAATAGTCTTAAACAAGATTTAAGTCCTGGAATAGATGAAATTTTTCCCATTTTTTTTTAATGTTCTTATAGTCTTCTTAATCTCCTCACGACTCTATGCGAAAACAGGAACTGACAGTGGACTGGAAACAGGCTATAGTCATTCCTACTTATAAGAAAGGTGACAAAGAATCCTCTAAGTTACCATCCAGTCAGTCTTAGTAGCTGTATTGGTAAAGCAATGAAAAAGATTATTACAAAAGAAGTAACCGAGTTCATGATGGAACACAAAGTTTTACCCAGCAATCAGCATGGATTTACGCCCAAAAGTTCTGTTGTTACAAATCTTTTAAGTGCAGTTAACCAGTGGACAGCTTGGAATGACAACAACCAGCTAATTGATGTGATATATATCTTGATTATGAGAAAGCTTTTGATAAAGTTCCACATAGAAGGCTTCTTAGCAAACTGGAACACTTTGGAATAAGAGGCAATCTATTACTGTGGATTAAGAATTTCTTATTCAACCGGCAGTTCTGCTGTCAAACAACCATCCAGTACCACTAGGTTTGGTTCTGAGTCCCCCATTTTTTATTTTATACACCAGCAATATATGCAAAATCATCGAGTACTAAGCCAACTTTTATGCACGACAGAAAGATCTACTGCAAGCCACTGGAAAGCTCTCACAAACTGAAACAAGACGGAAATAAAATAGGAATCTGGTCTCAACAATGGCTACTACCCCTTAACATAAATAAGTGTACAGTACTGCACATTGGCCCAAATAATCTCCATAATATTGACCATAGATACAAACACAATAACTCCAGTCAAAACACAAAAGGCTATTGGATAGACTTAAAATATATTGCTAATATATTTTATTTATTTAGGGGCAACCCCATTTGAGAAATAAATTACAATTTTAAATTATAATTCAAATAAGGTTGAATAAAATATTTACAATAAACATTAAAAATTAAAGACCAAAGATTAAAGATCAGTACTAAGTAATTGTTTTATAAATTTATGAAAAGGGGTGTTAAATTAAATTAATATTCAAAAAACTAAATGTATGATATTAGGCGTAAAAAATAGGTATAGGGAAGATAGTTTAAATATAACATTAGATAATGAAAAGTTAGAAATAGTAAAAAAATTTGTTTATTTAGGAGTAACCATTGACAATAGTTTAAAATTTAAGGATCATGCAAATCAAGTTATTAAAACTGTAGCCTTTAAAATTAATTATTTAAGACGATGTTCGCCACATCTTAGCCAATGGTCAAAATTAACAATTTTCAACACTGTTATGTTGCCACATTTCAATTATTGTCCTACAATTTTGTATTTACTTAACAAAAATGAAATAAGTCGTCTCCAAAAAATGCAAAACAGTGCCATGAGAATAATATTAAAATGTTCGAAGTACACTCCTATAAACAGTATGTTAAATGCACTAAATTGGCTTCCAATAACAAAATTATTACTATATTACACATTAATTTTTATTTTTAAAGTCAAAATTGGACATGCACCAGTGTATATGCAGGATAGGCTCTCTAATAGTATGGATGTACATAATTATAACACAAGAAATAAGGATAATTTCAGAATTCAAAGATATAGAAAAAACAGTACATATAACTCTGTATTTCACAAAGGTATAAATTCTTTTAATAATTTACCAGAATATATCAAAAAAAGTTTGTCAGTAAATATTTTCAAAAGAGAATTAAAAAACTATCTCATGTCAGAATAAGATCAGTGTGATACATATATTAGTGTAAATTTGTTTACTTCTAAATTTAATTTTCATTTATGTGTAATGTATTTTTTATAAAAAAACTCCATGTTGTACTATTTATTACTTTATATACTGTATATGTGAAAAGAATTAGTTTGTAAAAATTATTATTGTACTATTTTTTTTTATTACTATGTATGCTGTATATGTAAATAGAATTAGTTTTTTGACTAAATAAAGAAATATATATATATATATATATATATATATAAATATCTCAAGATCGTTAAGTGTTGGCTAATCTTAACATTCTTGGAATACAGCTGGTATAAGTGGGTTTAAATGTTAACCCTACAAAACAAAAGTATTGTGATCGGCTAGCCAAACTACAACTAATAATTTTGAAGGATAGAAGAACTAGAGGAGACTTGATTGAAACTTACAAGACCAGCAGATATTACACCTGTGATAACATTTTCCAGGCCAGCACATCAAGAACTTTGGGAGGTTACTCGAAAAAATTATATAAAGAAAAGTGTAATAAACTGCAAAAAAAAATTCATTACAAATAGAACTAACTGTATATCTGTGGAATAATCTCCAGGAACATATGATCTCAGCCCAGAACATAAACTAGTTCAAGGTGAGAGTGGATAAAGAACTCGAAGAAGGACGAAACAATTGTATATATTATAGTTTATAGTATATTAAGTTTTAACTGTCATGTAGTAATTTAGAATAATTTATGTCACTAACTAAAAGAGCAGCTTTATCGACTATGTTGCTTGTCTGTTCTTAACAGTAGTAATAATAACAACAGGGTCTAAAATTGAGCACTTTGGTACTCACACTGTCACATTTGCTGCTTCCAATGTATTACAACTTGTTCATGATTATTTAAATATGACTACCACTATTAGGCAAGCCCCTTATACATATTCAGTACAGTTTATCTACTAGCAGTTGATAGTTAATTAAGTCAGATGGCATATATTAGCAATTTATGTAAAAAGTGGACTTTGGTACAATTATGAATATTGACATATCTTCTTGATTAGATTAATTAAATATAGGTGTGTTCTTTTATTCAACAATTCTTCTTCTTGTTTTTCTGATGTCATATCACTGATTAATTTCTGATGGAAGATATTTGCACTGAAAATATAAAGGACATTTCGCAAACTTGACATTTGACATTGCATTAAAATAAAAATCCCATTATAATTTAAATAGTAATTTAACTCATATGCAGACGTTTTATATTTTAGGTTAACTTGTAACTAAACAATCATATTCAAACATTTAAAGAAAGTGATTAACTACCACCTCCATTTATTCATCCATAGGCTTTTAAAGCTGTTGGATTCATTATCTCATTGGTGAAATCATTGCAGAAAAAAGGAATGTTTGACACATTACAATCATCTTTCCATTGCTTAATTTACGAACAGTTTGCTACAAGCGTTGGATACATTGCTGAATAAAAGAACACACCTTATTTTATCAATGCGAAAACTCAACAATTTAAATTCAAACAAATGCACATATTGAGCAGTAAAATATAGAGTAAATAATGCATTTTAAACCAAATAGAATCAATATTTTCAAAATAATTGTAAACCACATGAAAGGAGTAAAAAATAAACTATTAAAATTCAATAAAAGAGCTCCTTGTGAGAACTTTTAGAAAACAAAAAGGATAAAATTACCTGCAGAAGTGAGAAGGTTTGGTACCATTCCTTTTACGGGAGCCAAAAATTTTGGTTATTGAACCTACTCCTACGGGAGAGCGGATGTAGATGTGCCTGACAATAGCAGAGCACCTAATGTAGTACCAATCAGGATCGTAAGGTGCTAATTCCTTAGCACGGGAGGTTTTTACAATATCTACCCATTCTGGTACACGGAGTTTACCAGATCTAAAAAAAACGTTATGGGTTATTTAACCACACTTTTTCATAAATTTAAGACTTACTTTTTGAGGAAGGAGGCAAAAGCCTTGACAAATTTGTGTTGGTCCACGTCTTTTAGTGTTACCGATGGCATTTTTACCTGAAACAATAACGAATAGTTTATATTTTTAATTTCTCATACGAACACCATGTGGGTTATTAAGTAGTTAAAAACATTTTATTATAAAACATCAAATATTAACATTTAATAATAACCTAAATGAATTTATCAAAAATAATAGTTTAGAAATGCATTTATTTTTAATTAATACCTTAGTTTAATAATTATTTTAATAATTTTTTAGTGTAATAAACACTCTTGCTAACCTGTCGCTGTCACACGTCGGCGGAAAAGGAAACAAAACTGACAAATGACAGTTAATTGACACACTGATAATTTTCTGCAGGACTACCACATTAACAAAATGTCGATTTATGACGTCTTCGCAGAACCTCACATACTGGGGTGCGTTCAGAAATAGAGAGCGTCAAATTTTCAATCGTCCGGACAAAATTCGTTGGAACGTTTATTTTTGCCTGATAAATACGAACGGTAAGTGCAGAATATTGTCAAATCAAGTTTTTTGTTATGTCTTTTCTGTTATCTGATATTGTAGGAATGATCAAAAATTAGTAAACAGGTAACATCATTGACGTCCACATACTTTTTTATGTAAAAATTCATTACCTTTAATCTGTGTAATACAATATTATTTTCTATAATAAAATTACCTTAGTTTCCGACAACTAGACGATAATTGATGGAATTAATTCTCTCACTCATACTTATATCTTTTTTACTCAAAAAGTAAAAATAGGAAATTAAATACTAGGTGGTTCGTTTAGGTTAATTAGGGTTATGACATACTGCGGAAGTCAGGCGGAAGTCGAGTAAAAATTACCTTACTCAACACGATGGGTAAAATTTCTTCATCCCGACGCATTTTTCTTTTAAATAGGAACGGCTGGGATAATTCGTCCACTTAAAACGTTCCGTATTTAGGAACGCTTTTTAGAATTTAGACAACGTCCGGACGCATTTATTTAAACAATATATAAAAGGTCTGTGCATTTACCCTACATTTCTGAACGCACCCCAGTGTGTAACAGCTGTAATAAACTCAGTAGCTTAATTACTGTGCATATTTATAAAAAATCTCGATACACATCAATTTTATGTTATAAAATGACATCCTGCAACTTGAAAATTTCACCCTTACCTTCAACCCCCTTTGAATGACAGTTGCAACCCTCAAATTTGTAAAGAGACTTGATACCTCATTTTAAAGGTCTTTTCATTCCCCATTTAAAAATACTGTGATTTTCTAATTTATTACAAAAATTAACTGTAAAAAATGAATAAATTACTAATAGTTTCTGGTTGCGTCTGTTGTAATATCAAAATTATAAGTTTTTATTGTATCGAGAATAGTTTATTTTTCTTCTTATTTGTGTGAAGATTTAGGATATATTTAAAGCGAATCCGTCTCTTATTATTTTCATTAAAAAATGTTTAGTTTGGGGTAAGGCAATTAATGGTTTGAATATAAAATAAAACAGTGTTATTGATCTTAAAATTTAATTTTATTGGTAAACATTGATCATTTTGTATTTTTTTTTTTGTGCAAACAATGACTAGATAAATAAAGCAAAAATGTTTGTAATTAAAATATTTTGCAATAGATAGGTGCCAAGTTCTTCCATATTTTGAAAACTTAATTTTATATTGAAAACAGTTGGCTTTAAAGTAAAAATGTGTACCACCCGGTAATCATTATATAAAAAAGTCTTCTATTATATAAAAATGTGCAATGGAAGATTTTAATATTTATGTGGCAAGTAGTGTGGTTTTTATGGCCCTGAGTGAGAGGTTAAAAAATAGGTAACTAATATACCAAGCCATGAAATGTGCTATCAGCTGACATTGAATTGAAATGAAAAATAAAAAAGTTACTATACGACAGTAAATCAAATAATGAATCTTCTTTTGTAGCTGATAGCACATAAATATATATAATATACATAGAATTAATGTCATAATAAAAATATATATTTTCTAAAATAATCACTGTAAAATAGAAAAGTATTAAAAAACATTTGTAATTGCCCTTAGTACTATCTAACTTAAATAAAACAATAATACTTTTTACTATCACAAATTACAGGCATTTTCAAATATTTATTAATACTTTCTACATTTTTAATTTTTTGGCAATTTATTGAAGAACCGGCAACACAGTGATTTCTGTTTAATTTTAGCAATATTTTTTTATTAAAGAATACAAAAACTTATCACATAAACACAACCAAACTTGTATGTAGTCACCCAGTATTTTACAAAAAAATTCAATTGCAAATAAAATAATTGTTCAGATACACTCTGCAGCACTGCACCTTGGAACACTGAAAGCGGTTACTTCACCCCCTTGTGATATATAAATCCAAGCATTTAACTCATCAAGCCATTAGTCTTATTAGTTAAAAATAGAAATAGTTCCATTTTCATCGTTTTAGAGCCTTCCACACCTTCCACAAGAAAGGAGCTGTCATACGCGGCTTTCGCTAAGAAGCTAAGCCGTCATGCGCCGCCATGTCAGCATTTAAAAAAAACAATAATAATTAATTTTTTTTAGCAAAATAAAAATGTACATTGTCAATAATGTTATTATTACTGAATAGGTATGTATTGTGTAAAAAAAAAAACTATTTTAAACATTCATTAATAAAGCAATTTTCAGTAATAGATGAATTTAAGTGCAGTCACACTTTCCAGCAAACAGTACATAATAATGTTGTTTTTTTGACAGAGAAAAATTGTTTGGTTCGTGATTAGGAATCGACTACGTGTTAAAGAATTGTTTAGTAGAAGACAATTTGGAGTTCCACAACTGTTAAAAACATAAATAGTTTTAACTGTAAATCTGAATACGCCTCTGTGCAAGCACGCGCACTCGGATAAAAATAGAATCTTATAAAAATTATTGTGTTCACAACAACGGCAGTTACATCACCAAAGAAGTTGAATGTAGATTTTTTTTATATTTTATTCCCTTATCTGTCCGTCAAAAGATTTGTATTTTGTGTTAAAATTAATATATTTTATTTATACTTTTCTCCAAGAATCAGCTGTTTTCAAGACTTCAGAGGTTATCAGTTAAATTACAATGTAAATGAAAATATGATTCAAACACCAGCGGTTACTTACAAATCAACATTTTCTCTTTAACAGCTATCCAGACAAAACAAAATCTATTGATTAATTTGAAGTTTGAAGCTTCAAAACTAGACGATGGAAAAATGTCAAAAGGTCTTATTTTCGGAAAAAACACGGATTGGCGAAATAATCGATTAATATTCGATTATTATATTTTTTAAATCTATAATCGATTATTTTCAATTAATCGATTATTTTCGATTAATCTATTATTCTCGACTAATTGATTAATCGATCATTTTCGATTAATTGATTATTTTCAACAATCGATTATTTTCGATTAATCGATTATTTTCGATTAATCGATTATTTTCGACAATCGATTATTTTCGATGAATCGATTATTTTCGATGAATCGATTATTTTCGATTAATCGATTATTTCCGATTAATCGATTATTTTCGATAAATCGATTATTTTCGATTATTCTATTATTTTCGATTAATCAATTATTTTCGATTAATCAATTATTTTCGATCAATCGATTTATTTGGTTAACCATTATTTTAGATTAATCGATTACTTTTGATTAATCGATTATTTTCGAATAATCGATTATTTTACCATTATTGTACGATTATTTTCAATTAATCGATTTATCGATTATTTTCGATTAATCGATTATTTTCGATTAATCGATTATTTTCGATTAATCGACTATTTTTGAATAATTGATTATTTTACCATGATTGTACGATTATTTTAGATTAATCGATTACTTTTGATTAATCGATTATTTCGATTAATTATAATGGATTTCTACAATCGATTTTTTCACAATTTAAACTTTTTACAATTGATACTTTTACAATGAATAAATTTTTTCAATCGATTTTTTTACTGTTAATAAAGTCGATTTTTGAAAATGGATTTTATTTTATTTATTTTGTTACAATCGACACTTTACAATCGATTCACTTACAGCCAATTTTTTTTCTACAACTGATTTTTTATAATGGATTTTTACATTGAATACTTTTCATAAATGATTATGATACTTTTTAAGTCAATTCTCTTCACCATTGAAACTTTTTACAATGGATTAGTTTTTTAAATTCATTCTTTTCACAAAAGATTTTTTTATATACCTATGCTGCGTTTGAGAATCCACATCGGATGCATCTGAGATGTAAAAAATCTTTGATCACGTGATGCAGTATACGTAAATGTAATGGGACAGATGTGTCCGATGTGGATAAAAAAACGCTCGAGATGGAAAAAATGCATCCGATGTGGATTCTCAAACGCAGCAATTGTCGACACTTTTCAATCGATTCATTTATAATCGATTCTTTTTACTGTTAATATAGTCGATAGTTTTCATAAAGAATTATTTTTTATGATTGACTTTTTACAATTGAATCAGAATGGATTATTTTTTTACAATTGATTTTTGTTACTTAATACATTCGATATTGTAATATGGGTACTAAAAAATAGACTTTTTTCCTTCGATTCTTTTCAAAATGGATTATTTTTTATAATCAACACTTTAAAATCGATTTTTTTCTGTTAGTATAGTCGATTTTTTTAAAACGGATTTTTCGCATTCGATTTTTGTACTCAATTCTGGATACAATGGGTTTTTTTTACAATTTACAATTCTTTTTTAGAGTCGATTTGTTGTTATGGATTTTTACAATCGATACTTTTCCCAATGGATTCTTTATTATTGGCACTTTTTAATATAGATTCTTTTTTAAAATCAATACTTTTTTCAAAGAATTAGCTTTTTACAATTGATTCTAATTTACTGTTGATAAAGTCAATTTTTTACAAATAATTTTTGCATTTGATTCTTTACACAGTGGATTTTTTCTCACAATCGACACTTTATTATCGATTCATTCCCAACCAATTTTTTTTCAGGTACTTTGTTATATTGAAATTTTAGAATTGATACTTTTCATGAAGGATTATTTTTTATGATTGACACTTTTTACAGTCGATTCTTTTTTTACAATTGAATCATTTCACAATGGATTATTTTTTTACAATTGAAACATTTCACAATGGATTATTTTTTTACAATTGATTTTTGTTACTGATAATACAGTCGATTTTGTAAAATGGATTTTAAACAATCGATTTTCCTCTCGATTCTTTTCAAAATGGATTACTATTTTATAATCAACATTTTACAATCAATTCTTTTTTCCTGTTAATATAGTCGATTTTTAAAACCG